GTAGGGAAGTCCAGGTTTATACACTCCACTCTTTTGTTGACTTACGTGCTGCTAAGTAAACTGCATAATGTAACTGTGCCTCAGTTTCCCAATCTGTTAATTGGGAGTTATACTTCCGTACAAATATACAGGTTATAAGGCACAATTCATGAATACTTGCCAAGCGCTTTGAGTTCCTCAGATGTGCAGAGTATCGCTATTCTGTTCCCTGGGAGTTCCACAATGTGGGATGCTGCCAGGATCTGTTCCTGTCTGTTTACTGTTTCTCTTGGAAATGGACTGCTCGAAATCCATGCATGTGTGCCATATTTAAGATCAATGTACAAATAAATAAATACCATTTCTGTCACCTGTCCCTGAGCAACAGAGGGATAAGTATGCTCCCTAGGCCTCAGCCAAGTATTTTTTCATGGGAATTGGAAATTAAGTTGAGGGAGAGCAGGAAAATAATCCAACCCCCTGGAAGATCTCACCACTACAGTGGGAATGTAGTATCTATACAGCTAGGGAAACAAACCTGTCCAAATATCCTATGTAGGACTCATCTGATGTCAGTCCTGGTGTCCATGAAAATAGCATCCATTTGATGTCAAGTTCGATGGCTATGCACTCTTTACAGCTGGTGGAAGACTAATCAGTACAGTTGGTGAGCACAGGGTACCTGAACCAAAGCACTTATCAGCTTTAGGATGGGATTAATCTCATCTTTAACTCAATTATCTATAATAACCACATTTCTACTGACTTCAAAGGGAACAGAGGGTGACTTGCTTAGATGTCAGATGATCAGAGACACCCACAGTCAGTGGGAAGGCTCTCACCCCTACCCCACTGATCCAAGGTGCAACCTCTCTACCATGGCTCACATCCACATCCTGTTGAGAATGACCCCTACTGCTCCACACAATGCCTTCACTACCATGGCTAGAGCACTGACCAACAAAGACACAAGGATTTGGCCCATGTGAGATGTTAGAAAGTGAACTTTCTCTAGTGACTGCTTGTATTATACTGCAGCTGCACAACTGCACATCATCGGCACATCCAATCAGAGCACAAGAAAGAGATACAACTTACTGGGCTTCCCATGTGTAACTGGGTATTGCACAGGCCTGGATAGAGTGCACTTCAATGGAAGAATCCTTGCTGGGTTTTTGCCCACTGTAGTAAACTTCATGTTGGTTCCTCAGTATCATTGACATCCCATAACAGTCTTCCCATCCGGGGAGCTTCTTTTTCTTCTCCTCCAGATGTAGGCATTGCCTTCATCTTCATAGTTTATTGTCTATTTAAAGAGACATCTAAAGGATTAGGATCTTCCTACTTCATCTGCGTCTTCAGCTAAATCATGATCTGGGACAGATCTGCAGGGAGAACAAATTGCTGTAGTTACTCAAGTAAATAATGCAGACCAGGTACAGCCTTTGAAGACTGGGCTGAGTCCATGGAGCTGTTCTGAGGCCAGTAACTATGATGACATGAGGTACAATTTTGGTAATTGCTTAATTGACAAAATAGCCATTGACCTGAAAGATGATCTGTGTTTGGTGCAGTTTCATGGCTAAACATGAAAAGAATAAAACTAGCTGACAAAAGTGTAATTCATTATAATTTGGCATATTGAGAAGAGTTCTTTGGCCATCAGTGATTCTTGGAAGTACCTGTATTGCACCTTCTTCAGGCTTTCTGATACCTGTTTTTGGCAACTCGTAAGATTTAACCCTCACATGACAAATGAATGAAAAAGAATGAAAACTGATTTTAACATTGTTAGACTTCTTCTGAAATTGGTGTAAGTATATGCTAGACAAGCCTGCCTCACTTTTCTTATATGTCAAGTGCCTGGCATTCCTACGGATTTCATTTGAGTTTGGCCCTTCTTGAAAAGCTTTCTAGACCTGAGCAATCAAAAATCAAGGCAGCCAAAAAACAAGTGCAATCTGAGAAATCTGTTTGTGAATGCCATGCATTTCCCTGCCTAATTCCCCCTCAAATTCTTCAGTTCAGGTTTCTAATCTCCCATGCCAGGTCACATAAAGGGAATCTTTTCTCAGTATTAAACCTGGCTGAAAATCCATGAATCACCTCATTATAAAGGTATGTTCATTCCAAGAGAAAATCCAAGCAAAGGCAGAGACTTGGATGAGTCTTTACCTGCACACAGAGTGCAGCCCCAGAGAAAGTGGGATTTGTGCTGCCCTGCACTGTGTACACTTAGCAGCTGAACTACCTTCAAGTTAGCATTTTCTATGGGCTGTAAGCACCAATTTACTATATGCAGCTTAAAAACCCCAGGTCAAGTATCTGTAGCCACATCATGAAAAATTTAATGATGTGCTAACTGGCCAGATAACATCTGCCTCTTCTTAAATGGCACTGGTGGTAAGCTCAGCAAGACCCTCTGCAGTGGACATCTCTGGATCCTCTGCAAGAGACCCAAGAAGAGGCTCAAGGAAGATCTGATTAGCTTATTTCAATATTTATTTTTTCTAACACACTTCTTTGCACTGAAACCAGTCACTGCTCTGTTCAGAAGGGTGATGTGCTTAGCAGCTCTCTGCCTGCTACGTTATCTGCATTAAAAATAAGGTGTGCATTAGTTCTGCTGCCTGTGCTGACAACAGAAACGTGTAAAGATGTCACCAGCAAGGTGAGATCTGAAGACCATCCCTGATCTGGGATGTGCACACAAACTTCATCAGACTCCAGTTCAAGTTGAGTCCAGGAAGTGTATCAACCTTGGAAGGGCGGTTTATGTTTCTGCCATGGATACTGGACAAAACAAAATAAAGTATCTGTGATTATTGGCCCTGGCAAGATTTAAAAGGTCAGGACCTGTTTTGCAGAGTAGGTTCACCCTATACAAGGAATCAGTTATTCACCATTTCATCTGAGAGAGGCATCTGGGTTAATAGTACTCTTCATACGAGGAATGGATTAGTTTTATCCCTTCTTCTATTTGTGTGTGACATTTCAGTTTAACAGCTATCAATTTTGTTTGGGTCAGATCTTCCTAGCATCTAGACTGACACTGACACTTTGTTTACATATAGTTAACATTAAAGAGAATTAACCATTGGAATCCACTCTTTGCTGACTCTTAACTCCTACGAGTGACCAAGGATACATTTCAGGGCTTGAGATGTTTTTCATCATCAGAAGGTGTGGGGCTTTCCTCTGCCCTCCTTGAAGTCAGTAAGAAACCGTCTCAAACTGATGAACTGGGAGCAGGATTGGGTCCTAATCTGCCTTTATGTATGAATTTCCTTGTGAAAGACAGCACTGATCTGGAGACATTTTTCTTGGCTACATTTTTACGCGGATTCTCCAGTCATTAATTAATGACACACATCCGTAAGTTTTTGAAAAGGTGAATCTTTGTTTACATTGTGTACCTCTCTGCAGCATTATTATTAATCAGGCTTCGTCAATTTAGATTCAGACTGAGAATATTTCATTAAGGCAGAAGTGAATGTTTAGCTAAAGTATGCAGGTGTAGAAAACGTGGTTTATGTTCCATGTAAGGAGTTGGTCGTTTAAAAAAGATCTAGTCAGGTAATGACTGTCATCCTTGCCTTGGTTTTTCCCTGCACTGAATTAAACAGTCTGGCTCCTATCGAAATAAAAGGGAATTCAGCATGTGGAGAGATTGATTGAAAAGTCCCTAAACTGACTTTGGCTATATTTGCTCTGTTCTTGTCTGTAACTTTGCTGCATTGTTATGGTTCAGAGTGGAAATAGTTTTAAAGTTTTCTGCTTCAAATTGTGGCCCAGCAGCACGGCAAACTGTTCCCACCTGAACCTGTGCGTGGCGGGGCTGCTGACTTGTGGCCTTCAGGCGAGCACCGTGGTCCAATCAGTTTGCACGATCACAGCCTAAAGCAATCAGAAAATGCAGGTTAAGGAGCAAATTCAGCCCTGCTGGGAGCCCAGTTGTTGCAGCAGCGTCACATCTGCCTATGTAAGAACCAAATTTGTCCCGCTTAGTGCAGAGCATGTGAGAAAGATCTGGATCTTGATTCCTCGCACCCCTCAGCCCCCACCACTAAGCTTTAGGTGCCTAAGAGCTGCAAACCTAAATTTTCTACAGCACGTCGCGATTTTGGTGTGATATCACTTTTACAGGAGCCCAGCTGAATGTGGGTGTTCACTTTTGAAGACCAGTTTCAGGGTGCAGAGGAAAAAGGGGCCTTTTTCAAGTGATTTTAGCTGGGTACGGTGGGAATGAAGACCCTGGGTATCTCTATTGCTTCTGATTATTTAGGCTGTAAGATTTGATCCTTCCCAATTCAGCTTTTAGTAGCTTTTCTCTGAAGTTAAGCGAAGCAAAATACTGGAAGTTGGATCCTATTTCCATCCTCAAGAACAGGCTGAGACTGAAGGTTACATAGCCAACTGCATTTTAGTTTTCTAGTTATGGCATCTTATTATTACTAGTATTTGTGCCTTGCTCACTGAAATTTTCTCCATGCTACAAAGATGCTTTTCAGATTCTGGCTGACAAGGGAACACAACTTTTATACAAGTGGCCTTTAGTGCTCTTTATA